AAACTACCAGTCCAGGATCACCCCCTCCTATTACCAGCATGCCTGTGGGTTTTTTTTGTTGTTAGCATCATCGGGTGTCTTAGGAGGGTGGGTTATACCCAACTTGGACCCAACAGTGTCTACTTACGATTTATAGTGGGAAGATGCACCTGTTGTCAAGGACCAAACCATTAAACAAAAACACTCTCCAGAATTCTGTTCTCATTGGCGAGTCCTACTCTTCACCCCATCCTGGCTGTGACTTTATTTTGCCCAACTATGGTTGACTGGTAAAAATTCCTTTAGAGATCTCACCATGGCTGTGGTTGATGCTTGGATTATAGACAGTGTGGAGCAAATGTAGCTTTAGATTCCATCTCACATGACTCTCCTCTCGGTACATATGGGAAGGGCAGGTTAAATGAAGTGCTATGCTGCAGAAGTTGTGTATAAGAAGCCTTTAATTCCCATGTCCTTTGAGGAACAATATCTCTTCAGATCAAATCTTGATACTATTATCGAGGAAGCTGTTAGAGCCAAGAGCACCCATTTTACCACTGTGGAAGAAACCTAAGGAACAGACTTCAAAAATCCTTCTTTATCTGTTAAGAAACCTCCTTTGTTTCCCCACTCCCAAGCCCTCCACATTGAACTCCCCCAGCCCGTAAGCAGTCACTGCCCCAATTAGCAGATTTCCTCTTGTGGTCTTCTGGACCTAGGTGTCCTTGCATCAGTTCCTGTGGCAGAGCGGTTTCAAGGATTTTACTCCAACCTGTTCACTGTCTCCAAACCCAAAGGGGCATGCGCCTCATCTTCCATCTCAAAGCTCTGAATGTCTTCATTCTAGCCCAGAAATACCTCATGGAATTTTTCCAGGTCTGTCATTGCCTCCCTTCACCAGGAAGACTTTCTAGTTTCTGTGGACATCAATGATGCTTACCTACATGTCCCCATCTTCCCAGAACTTGACTGTTTCCTATGTTTTGCTGTGGGGCCCCTACACTACACATTCATGGCACTGCCGTTTGGCCTTTCATCTGCATATCAGGCAATCACCAAGGTGTGGGCCCCAGTATTAGCACTATTGCACTCTCATGGCATCCCCATTTTGGGATATTTCGACCACCTTCTGTTGAGGCAACAAGTCTGTGCATGCTCTGCATTGTCTTGACTGTCCAGATTTTACAGTTGTTCGAATGGATTCTAAAGCTTCAGACATTGTCGATGGAACTGACTCATTGTTTGGCCTGAATTGTGTGCATGACAAAAGAGTCAGAGTATTTCTTACGCAGGAGAAACCTCAGACTGTCTGATCTCAGATTTGAGCGTTCCAGTCTAGGAGTCATTTTCACTCCTTGCTTTTGCATGAGAAGGTTTCCTTCTAGTTTTTGCCTTTTACTTCAACTGGGACATTGCGCTTCAGTTCCTCTGTCTGACTCCAGTTCAGCAAAAGGAAATTTCCCACCATTCCCTGGATCTTATTCAGGCTTGGAGAGTCAGCCTCAACCACTGTTTCCCATATATAATACACACGCTTTCTAGAACCAGTTTGCCTCTGCAGCAATCAGAAGGATCAATCAAGCAAGCACTGGTGTCAATTGACAATGGGCTTGTGATATCACGGCTATTATTTTATTTTGCAAGATGGGGTTCCACATATATGCTTAACTATGATCAATAATCCTGAAGGAAAAACAACCCCTTTTTCTGGGCCTGTCACTATCCGGGCACCATTCTAATGATCACAGCTCTGGATAAATGATGGTAACCCACAGTGTGTTTCACATGTCATTTAACTAAGGTCTCTATTCGAAATGGATGAACAACAGGTACGGAAGTTGAGCAGTGGTATCAAAACAAGAGAAATCAGATTGTGTGTGTGTGTGTGTGTGTGTGTGTGTGTAGTTTTAATAACATACCAAAAAATTAAATCTGCAGATAGGGAAGGCTGTTTCCTTTTCGTAAAAGGCAAACTAGGAGAAAAGCCACTTACACTGGCAAAAATCTACTTTCCCAAAGAAAATGAGGTATCTTTTTAGGGCCACTTGTGATATACTTACTGGGTTCAAAGAGGGTATCTTTGTATGGGTTAGGGGCTTCAATCTACCTGTTAACCAGCTCCTTGGGATTCATACCAGTCCCCTGTAGAGTGCTATGCCAGATCGGAAACTGACCAGCCTTGCACTTCATGATACATGGTAAACCTTACACCCCATTGAGAAAGAATACACTTTTTATTCATCCTCTCGCCCATAACAAATATAGATCCACTGTTTCTTCCTCTCCCAGCCTGACTTGCCATATTTTTATATTCTTTTGGCTCAGCATCTAATCTCTTGCACCTTAACATTTCCAGAGAAGGAAATTAAAACCAGTGTTGGAAGCTGTATCCCTCTCCATTCAGGTAATTAAAGGAGAACTATGAGGTGAGTGCTTTTCACTCACCTCATAGTTCTAGCCGACCTGTGACAATGAGACTGTCACAGGTCGGCTCAGTAGATCGGGAGGTGAGCGAACACATACTGGATTCGCTCGCCTCTCGATCCTGTCACGGCTCTCTGCCGTGACAGGGGGAGCGTCTGGATTCCCCTCTTCCCCGCTCCGATCTGCCAGCGCTGACTGGCGGAACGGACGGGAGAGGGGGTGGGTACAGCTGGCTCTGCCTCTAGATAGGCAGAGCCAGCTGTCACTCATGCAGCTGGGCGGATCCCGTCATCTAAGTCGGGATCCGCTGCGGCGTCTCAGTATAACGCGAGCTGTAGCTCGCGGTATACTGAGCTTAGGGTAACGGGAGGACGCAAGTTTGTGTCCTCCTGTTACCCTAAGGAGAACTATGGGGAAAAACACTGACCCCATAGTTCTCCTTTAATTAAACATAAAAACCCTCCAAACTCACAGTATAGAGTACTTCATAGATAAGGAGACTCTGGATTTGTCCTTGATGGCTTAGCGAGTAAAACAAAAATGTATCATACGAGGTGAATGGAAACAAACCTCTGAAAGAAACTTTGAGCTACCTTCACGGCTTTGACAGATGGGATCCAAAAATTAAAGGCAGCCCATAAACAGGCACAAGTACCACCCTGGCGCAAGTAACGCAAGCTCGCACACAACTTTTAGATTAATTCGGCTGGAACCGGATCTACTCTACTTATGTTTTTTTATTTATAAAGGCAAGCAAGGCACACACCACAGATACAGCCAAGTACAGGATAGGCGGAGTCCTCCGCAGTTACATTCACAGAAAGTACACACCATTGGCAATCAAGTAGCTATAGTGCAACAATAATCTCAAACATATATTGTGGGGGCCCAGCAATACCTTGTGATACTCTACTTATGTTCAATGCTGAATATAAGGGGCCTTAAGGCTTCTTCATGAGATTCTGGAAATTTGTCAGTGTATAAATACATACATACATACAGTGATAGTATATTAAATGACCAATGTGGGGGTATTACTTAAGGGGGGCACAAGTATATTGTGTTGAAGCTTAGAGGTATAGGATTTAATTTTAGTATAATTGTATATGGTGGACATCTTACATTACAGGTTAAGTCCCAAGTCATTTTTGTTTCCTAATCTAGTGACACATTGCATCCTTTTTCCATGTAAAGGGAAAAGCAATCACTTAAGGTTTCTACTGCCAGCCAATCTTTCAGAGTTCTTCACACACAGTTACACACCACTTCTAAATGAGTTACAACAAGACCTCAAAAACTGGGACAGGCAGTGGTTTTCTCGGTTTAGGAGGGCTGCTACTCCAAAGATGCCCTGTGAATCAGTATGACCCACGACCCTAAGGAGGCATCGGCCTTCCAGTCATTCAAAAGTACTTTTGGGCATGCCAGATAACTAGACTGGATTTGTAGACTGGCACTTTCACGCCAATATAAAGGCCTGGGTTGACCTATAAAAAAAAAACCTTTGCTCCCTACCAACTGGAGAACCTCATGTGGATTGCCTCCCAATTTTTACTGTACAGAACCCGAACTTCCCATCTGGCCAATCCTAGAATTTCCCAAGAGAGTGCTGATCATGCCCTAGGATGTGTGCAGGCCATTTTTTCAGCTAAGGGCTCTTCTGAGACCGACGCCACCTCACCTGGCAGATCAATTGGAACCAATTTTTCACTCAACCTCATAGTTCAAGCCGACGTGTGACAATGAAACTGTCACACGTCGGCTCTATACATCGGGAAGTGAGCGAACGCATAACGTCGCTCACTCATTACCCGATCGTCTCCCTGCAGTGAGCGGTGACTGTCAGTCACCACTCTTCGCAGAGATAGCCCCCCTCACCTCTCCAATCCTCCAGTGCTGACTGGGGAAATGGATGGTGTAGGGGGCAGGCACAGCTGGCTCTGCCTCTAGATAGGCAGAGCCAGCTGTCACTCACGCAGCTGGGTTGATCTCGACAGCATTGTCGGGATCCGTCCCGGCTGCGGCGCTCTTAGTATACTGAGCTTTGGGTCACAGAAGGACGCTAGTATATGTACTCCCGTGACCCTAAAGAGAACTATGGGATAAAAAAGTTACCCCATAGTTCTCTTTTAAGTAAATCTTCCTGATGAGTCACATATGGCAGAAAAAAAAGCTGACCGGGTTATAACCCTCCCTTACTCTATCCAAAACTAACGCGAAAGAAAAGTTTTGACCTCAGCTCAACTTTAAGGAAAAAAGTTATATACAATTATATGGTGGTAAAATGACATCAGGGAATTAGCACAATGAGGGTTAATTATGGTTTTAAAATAGGCAATAGTATCTAGTCTGACTGTTCTGATTAAATGCACGGTGAGCTCAACTCATACAGTACAAAGAACTGCAATTTATTATAGCAGAAGTGTGCGCCACCTACTGGCGCGCTGAGAGCATGACACATCTACAGGGATGCTGGGGATGTTTTCGCTCATATGACACAGAGCTGTGGCTTACCTCTGCTTCTGATTGGTCACTTCTAGCTGCCAGCGCAGAATACACAGGACAGAAGGTGATACAATGTAACCATTCATGTTCAAGTCTCCGCGGTATAAAGCGGAGGGAAGGGGGAGCGTGCTTCTCTCCTCATTTGCATATGGAACGTGAGGGCGTGGATAACACCTCCAGTGTACTGTTATGTGGAGGGTGGCTGCCTGGCAGTGTGGTCCTCCTTGATGGTGCTGAGGGGAAGGTGAGTGTGACGTCGTGTGTTCGAATCATTTCTATGACAAGTGTCTGTCCAGTAGCCAGGCCTGTGCTATATCCAGCCAGCCATTTGTTTCCTGCCTGAGGGCTAAGACACATATGCAGCTGTTCCCTGCCGCTACATCACTAAAAGTCAACTTGTGTTTTCTCCAGAAGAAGGCACTCCATTCCTGTCACTGAGGTAAGTGAGGGAACCACTCCATAGCATCAGCAAAGTTAACTTTAAAGGGACCCTGTCACCAATTCAAACAATGCAGGTAAAAACACAGAAAAATCAAGTATTTTAAAGTCAAACTGATCATTTACACACTGCACTGGGTGTGTATATTATCATTAAAGTACAATTAAACTCTCAGGGTGTTATTTTTGGCATATATCTTCTGCTAGCAAACTGTAGATATATTGTATGCAAAAACATTTTTAAAAATGTACCAAAAAGGTTATTATCTCTGTCACTGCCACTCACTCCCATCTGGAGCTTCTTGAGTGGCCGAGCAGCATGATGGGGCGGGCGAATGCGCAGTAGAGATCTTTGGCGGGGAGAAATGCACTGTAAGTAAATGTACGCAGCCGGGAGTGTGCTCGCCGACAGACAACATGGGACGGGAAGAGACAGCAGTCAGAGCTGGATCAGAGACCGGCACCAGCGCTGGAGGGGTTGCTGAACACAAGTGGAAGGAAGAAAATGATCGGATCAAGAGGCTTCATTTGGTCCTGGTTCACACTGATCATTTTGTAGTATTTTTTCTGCCCTAAAACACGCTCAAAAAATCTGACCAAATCCCATTCATTTCTATGGCCCTGTTCACATCTGAGCATTTTGTCGCAATAAGCAAAACGCCTGCCACTGGAAAAAGTACAGGAGCTTCTTTTTGGCATATTACAGCTCCTTTTGGCCCCATAGACTCAATAGGAAATGCTTGAAAACGCCCGTTTGCTGTGGTTTTGCGCATTTTTATGCATGTTTTCTGCGCTTTTTCCTCTAACATCAATGAGCTACAATCTGCTCACAAAAATGCACTCCCCCCCCCCCATATGCACATAAACATGCGCGTTAAAACGCGCAAAAATGTTGTCGTCTAGGTGTGAACCAGGTCTTAAGGTAAGTCCTTAAAGTAGCATGGCAGGTGGAGGAAAAAAATTGTGGCTTTAATGTCACTTTACAATCTGTGTGGAGGGCGGCTGCAAAGTATATGCCGTCTCCTATACATAACTGTCGGCTTCCGGGTGCTGCCTGGAGCAGTTAAGTGCTCTGGTCACAAGCCTCACTCCTTGCCCATTCACAAAATGCCTTATATTTTTCTCAGATAATACAAGGTGTTCTGTGATTGGAGGAAGACAGGGTCATAGATATGACATCATCTCTCTTCCTGGAATCACAGAACACCTTGTATTCTTTAATAAAAATACAAGGCATTCTGTGAATGGGTATGTAGTAGGGCTGCAACAACTAATCGACATGATCGATTATAATCGATGATTGAAAGAGTTGTCAACTTTTTCAATCATCGATTAATCGGCTTCTGATTGATTGGCCCTGTTCACGGCTCCACACACGCTGCCCGCCACCCCTCCTCCCCACCTCACGCTCGCCGCTACCAGACCCGCCCGCATCCACGCTCTGCACCTCCTCCCCGCCTCACGCTCACCGCCCACCCAAATCATCGATCGGCACAGGGACACAGGGAGAAGAAGTAAGGAGGAGCAGATGTGGGCGCATTACAGCCGCCGATAGACATGCCCGATCTCAGAAACAAGTTGCTGGAAGACTGCTCAGGTAAGCCTGCACTTTCCCCCCACATGCTGCTCTATAATGTATTGCTGGGATTTGTATTCCTCTATAGCTGATGGTACTTTGTGCTGTATATTATTCCATCAGCTATAGAGGACTACAAATCCCAGCAATACATTGTACACTGTATAATGTATTGCTGGGATTTGTTGTACTCCTCTATAGCTGGTGGTATTCTGCATTGCACTGTATAGAGGACTACAAATCAATGAATAATACATTATACAGTGGTGCAATGCCGAATGCCACCAGCTATAGAGGAGTACAAAACCCAGCAATAGTACATTATACAGCGCAATGCAGAATATCGCATGTACTATTGCTGGGTTTTGTACTCCTCTATAGCCGTTACCATTCGGCATTCATTGCTGTATAATTTTACACTTTTCATTTCACTATATTGCACACCACACTTTTTTTTTCATTTTTACTTCCAAAGTTCCAAGCTTGCTCCTGTGATGGACTACAATCTCAATACAAACTAGAAGTCCCATCACTGGAGCCATTTTTAAAAATGTATTTTATTTTTTATCCAATTAACCGATTAATCGAACTTAATAATCGGCTAACTAATCGATTTTGAAAATAATCGTTAGCTGCAGCTCTAGTATGTAGGGAGGAAGGGCGGGGATGTGACTGGAACACTTTACTGCTCACATCTCATTCTGTGCAGCTCCCAGAAGATGAGAGTTATGTGTAGGAGCTGGCATGCTGCAAGGTAAGATTTTGATATTTTGCAGCAGCCCTTATAACATTTATAACTCATAACCCAGTGTGGTATGTAAATTGTAATTTATTTTCATGGAGTTTGGCATTGAATACTTACTTACAGCACTTTTTTTTTTTTTAAATTCCGTATATGATTTTCTATTGATTTCTGTCATTCAATCTCTCAGCGTCTCCGCATACACTGGCTGATCTCCATGCTGCTCATGCAGACCTATTGCTCCAAGAGATCTGCTCCTTTCTTCACAATTGAATGATATCTTTTATCTAATCTTGTCTCTGTTCCCAAAACCAAGAGGGGGTGTCAAAGCCATTTTGGAGCTGAAGGCCCTGTCTTTTGGGTATAAATATTCTGCCCGAATCTGCCTCCCCTCCTCGTGGGGACTAAACGGCTGTGTTTTCAGAGCTGGCAGCCTTGTCCTGTAGAACCCTCAATGGTCTTGTATTTCCCAAACTCCCTAGAAGACGCCTCCAGGCCCTAAGGCCATTTGTTTGGATGGAATTGTACCTTGCATGTTGCTCAGTCAGGGGACCTCTCATATAGGGGAGGTTTTATATTCCGTTTGCAGCTCATGCTTCTTACAGACAGCATTGTACTGTTCCTGCCTTATGGGAGTTCTTTAGATTTCCGCCCTCTGGACACTGCTTTGAGACGTCCCAGTGGTCAAATTCAAGATCTCTGTGTCCTACAATGAATGGAAGAGAAAATAAGATTTTTGTACTTACCATAAAATTCAGCGTTATTCGCTTGCTGTGCTAAATGCTTTCTTTAAAGTATTAAATTCTCAAACCTTATTTCAATAATGAATCCAGATCAAACAAATATGCATTGCCTGCAAAGAATTTCTTTACATTTTTGACCAAACACTTACAGTCATCATGTTTCCAAACAGCTCCAACTCTCTGAGCTCAGCTTCCCTGAACTGTTCAGTACATCACAAAGACAGCACAATCTCCAGCAACTGTTCATCTACTAACTTGTGGAAGGGAGAAGTGAGGAGAGGGGAACGGGGGGGAGGAAAGTAGCTTGCTTTGCTGTGTCTGTGTGTTTTTGGAGACACAAACCGCTTACTAACGCACACAAGGGTGGCTCCATAGCACCCTGCAAGGGAAAGTAGCCACCCTAAAACAGGATATCAGGACTAGTGCTCAGGAAACCAGCTGATTCTATAGGAAGCAAACACGTTTAAACATCAAGAAGCAGATCAAGAAGTGATTTTATCAGCATTTGGAATAGCTTAGAAACATTTTGACTTTAATATCACTTCAAAGCTTACTGTAATGTTAATGTCATTCACTAGGTGCACGTTCATTGTGTTATAAATAGAATTTGTGTGATCGGGGTGAGTTCAGCCCAACTAATGTACTGGTGAGGGCTTGTTCACACACCACGCACCGCAATTCCTCACAAAACTTCCCCCTGCGTTCTGAGGCAGGAGGGGGTGTGGCGGTGCATTGAATTCAATGGCACCGCTTCCACGCCCCTCCCCCCCCACTCAGTTTCGGCAACGATATCGATACTAGTATTGGTGCATCCCTAGTTAAAACCAATGAAATTACAAACAACATTCTACAAGTCTGTGATGGTATTATCTACAGGGCTATTCACTAATGAGTGAAGAGTTTGGAGAAGGCAGGAGAAGAGAACAATCTAGGACAGCATATCTGAACTGGAAACATTCTCCAATTCAGCTCACTTTCCAGTTCAGCTATGTTGTCCTAGATTGTTCACTTCTCCTGCATTCTCCAAACTCTTCACTCATTAGTGAATAGCCCTGTAGATAATACCATCAGAGACTTGTAGAATGTTGTTTGTAATTTCATTGGGTGAAGAGCTTGGAGAAGGCAGGAGAAGTGAACAATCGATGAAATTACAAACAACATTCTCCAACTCAGCTATGTTGTCCTAGATTGTTCACTTCTCCTGCTCTTCACCCTTTTGTGACTACAAGATTTTTCATATGAATGTTTGTACAAAAAAATCTACCAGTGTATGGCTAGCATTACATTCCCCTTAAATATGCCCCAGGGTTTTCTTGAACATGAACACATATTGATAAGATTGTGTACATTAGGATTATTTTATTCACATGTACATGTATGTCAAAGAAAAATACAAATGTTGAATCAATTGTCATTTATCACAAGATCCAAAATACATGTTTTGCACTAAGCAGACATAAACATTTTGTACACTTGTTTGTAGTTTTGTTTCATGATGTTCCTTACATTTAGGTTAATACTTTGTCTTGTGACAGGATGGGGTTAATGTGAGCCCTCTCACATTTGCACTGATGCTATTTGTGAAAGACTGTCTGTCAGCCCCCAGAGCTGCAAAGCTCAGCATGTTTTATATTTAGTCCCTACCATTCGAGTGTTCCATTAAATTCTAGCTCTTGCCAGATATGCATTCAACCTAAAATCTTCATGCTGAAAATAACTGGAGTAATTACTACATACATTACATACATATGGCTGTCATATTGTATTTCACTCTATGCCATAGGGTTACCCTTATATAATGTTCTTCATAAACAACAGGTAGCAAAGTTATGGTCAGCTTAGACCAAGTACTCTACAGAAATACACAGAGGAGAATTGGTCAAAACTGGAGCATACAAAATCTGGGGCAGATTTGCACTGCAGCCAATCAGCTTCTCTCTTTCATTTTCAAATCTCACCAGAGCAAACAGAAAAGAGATGCTGATTGGGCAACTGCTCCAGATTCTGTTTGCTACAGTTTTGATAAATCTCCCCCCCCCAATGTGTATTTACACTTAGAAGTACAGACTGTAATTTCACATTGGTTCGGGTGACCGCACTCTTGGCACTCTCTCCTGTGTTCGATGCCATTCATTGTCTTCCAGAAGGAAAATAAATGTATTTCTGCATTGTAGTTGAGAAGGAGAACTTTACAGGGAAACACAATAATGCATTTTATCTTCACAGGTATAAGTTGGAACAATAGGAAGACATTGTGTAAGATATTTAATTACAGTATAATTCCTTGCAGTTATTTAAAAAAAATACCTTATTCCGCATGACCTTGACCCCACATTGTTGGATCTTTGATTCATGGGGTTCTTCTTGTCTTGCTATGAATTAAAGAGATTTCTGGGCCTTTCTCGCCTTCCCTCTTTTCCTTTTCTTTCCCTTCTCTTCTTGTTCAGTTTCCTCTTTACCTTTTCTTTTTATTTGATGTAACTCGAGAATCCTATGTGGGTGGATTTCATGTCATTCACTGCATGTCTATTGTTTTATGTTTATTGCACTTTGCACATACTGTATTGGACCTTGGACCTACCCACTGTTCCTTGGGCACTGATCTATGTTGTTGCTTTTTTGTATACTTTGTGATATGCTTTAAACTTGTTGAATAAAAATGATTGAATTAAAGAAAAAACAAAACAAACTTATTTTCAGGTAATCATTAAAAAAAACATTAAACTAAGGCTGGAGTTACACAATGGCATTTTTGGCCTGGTTTGTTTTCCTTTTAAATCAATGGAAAACTTAAAGGTGACACTAAACTCAGGAGTTAAACCTTAAAAAGCATTCACATACCTTAACTATTAATAAAAGTGTATCTTATCTGTGTATCACTCGGCTGTAGATCCTCAAATCATCTCTGAATACATGCTGACACTGTCCTTCCTTCTGGAGGCTACTATTGTTCCCCATGGTCCCCGTGTGTGCTGTAAAGTAGTCACCACTCCAAGCTCACTCCTGTGATGGACTACAAGCTCAATACAAATGAGTATATAAACGTGAGATTGTAGCCCATCACGCGAGTGAGCTTAGAGCAGGGGGATCTTTACAACACACAGGGACCATGGTGAGCAAAAATAGCTACCCTCCAGAAAGAAGGACAGTGTCATCACCAATTCAAAGTCAGTCAGAGTAGGAGATAGTCAGACAGGTTGTGGTAAAGAGTTCCAGAGGATGGGAAAGACTCTAGAGAAGTCCTAGAGGCGAGCATGGGAGGAGTTGACGAGGGAGCTGGAAAGCAGGCGGCCTTTGGAAGAGCGGAGGGGACGGTTAGGTTGATACTTTAAGACAAGGTTTGATATATAGCTGGGGGCAGAGCTGTGGGTGGCTTTGTAAGCCGTTAATAATTTGGATTTATCCTTTGGGCGATTGGAACCCAGTCAGGGATTTGCAGAGGGGGGTTGCAGACAATGAGTGGTTGGTTAGGTGGATGAGTCTAGCAGGTTGTCTCCAGGATCTAGATATGGTCTGGTGGTTTGCTACAAAGATAACGTTAGTGAGTTTATCGGGGTTGTTTTTTTAGGAGAATTTCCACCTCAGAAGGTTGTAACTTCATATCCACCGTTTTGGGACTTTACAGCAATCCTACCAAATGTGAAGCATAGAGCCTGAAGTGGTGCAGGACCTGAAGCACAGGGAAAAGGCAGTTTATTCTGTCTAGGGTGGAACACCACCGCCTAGGGACTTTATTGGAATTTTCTCAGGCTATGGTGTTAGTGGAACTCGTAGCCATATCTTACCTAGTCAGTGCTATCTGGTCTTCTTCCCATTGTATGATATATGAGAGTTTATCACAGCCAGGTGCGAGAGTAAGGTCTTTATATAGGACTGAGACAAGGCCCGGGGGGTTAAGGGTTGTTAAAGCATCTGTCCATACCAGTGGGGATGTCGTTTTATCACAGAGCAAAGATTGAAGATAGTATTGTATCTGTAGATAACGTGTGGCTGGCTCTCACCCATGCCCTTCTGTCTAGGGATTAGATGAGTGCATCATTTCTGGTTCCTGTCACTAAGCCCTGGTTCACACCTAGGTGGCACTGTTTTTGCACTTTTGTACGCACATTAGCAGCATACGGTTATTTGCACATTCATGCACATTGTGCACATTTTTGTATGCGCGTTTTAACGCACGTACATGAAGACGCGCACTTTGATTGACAGCTCATAAACGATTGTGGGCAATGGAAGAACGCGACTAGAAACGAGCAAAAACGCTCACGAAAATGTGCAGCATGCTTCTGTTGCGCGTTTTGTGGCATTTCCAATGAAGTCTATGGGGTGAAAAAGCGCTTTTAACTGCCCAAAGAAGCCCCTGTATCTTTTCAGGCATCTGGCGTTTTCCTGCTAGGCGTTTTTCTTCTCGGGTGTGAACCAGGGACATTGAAATTCATGGGATTTTTTTGTGTTGGGCAGTTAAAAGCGCTTTTCGAACTGCTCAAAAACACCCAGGTGTGAACCAGGGCTGAAGATCTTAAATGGAATATGTACAGTGCCTTTAAAAAGTATTCATCCTTTTGGATAATCTAATGTTTTGTTGTCATAAAAATCTGAAGAAATGGATTTCATTTATTGACATTAATGAAAAATAAACACTTTTAATTCATTGAACTGAAAAGAACATACAGATCAGGAGTTTGTATTTCAATCTCAAATCACAGGCCATATTCCAGTTCCAGGTCAGGTACTCGGAAGTATTGAAGCCACTGGATCAGCATTCGAATGGACATGCTGAAAATGCATACAAGGTCTTTTAAGAGAGTTGTAAGAGAGACCTGTGTTTTTTTTTTTTCTTAACTCAAAACAAGATTAAATGAAAAACAACTATTTAAACATGTTTTTTGTTTTTTTCCCCCACGGCTAAATGGTACTTTAATGTTTGTGTTTGCTGTCCTTAGAGAGTTCTAGTTAGCTGGGGATCTGGTTTGTCCTGTCCATATGGCCTTGCGCACAGTTAAGAGTTAACACCTCTGCAAATTGTATTTTGTTCTCAGCTTTGTACGCACAAAGTGTTTGTGTGTTTCAAAAACATCTTGTGGAATTTGTCCTTTTCCAGACTTCCCTGGACCTGTAAACTTTGAACCAACTGCGCTTTTAGCAGGTACATCAATAATTTTGGTCAAGAGGTCATCACCACAGCTGTGCACAAGAGGAATTGTAGTGCACAGGAACACATGGTTGAAAAACCAGAAAAAGGGGGTGACAAACACCATACATGACGTCAGACAGAGGCTACAAAAAAATAAACACGGTTAATGGATAACTGTACCGTACTTTTGTGCTGTATCAAAACAAATATTAAAAAAACCATCTAATGCAATGGCATTCAGGAAAGTGACCCATTGAAAAATTCCACCTCTACTCCTGTTCTAGTGACAGCTCAACATTTTGGATTTTTTTGCTGGTGACAGTGGTGACTAGGAAAGGCTTATTATAACTCGTATCTAATCTATTCAAAGCTAAAAAAAAAAAGGTTTGGTTTTAAAAACATTATAAAAGGATATTGAAGTTGAAAGGTTTTTAAGCTATTTCAAATGCTGATGAAATCACTTACAATAGATGCTGCTCCTCGATGTTTGGAAGTTTTAGTTTCCTGCAGAATCAGCTGGTCCTGATATCCTGTTTTAGGGTGGCTCCTTTCCCTTGGAAGGTCCTATGTAGCCACCCTTGTCTGTGCTAGTAAGCTGTGTGGGTCTCCACAAACACACAGGCTCGGCAAGGCAAACTGCTCCCCTCCTCCTCCTCCAAGCTAGTAGATGGATGGCTGCTGGAGTCTGCTGTGTTCCGTATGAACTTGTGTTGGACAGAAGGTTCAGGGAAGCTGAGCTGAGAGAGTCGGAGCTGTTCAGAAACATGATGACCGCATGCCTTCATCCTTCATTCACACCTAGGTGACAGCCTTTCAGTGCAGATTACATGCTTTTTTTAAATGCGCACTTTCGCACGTGTATTGAGTCGCGCTTTTTTTTGTAAGCATATTGTGACATATTGATGTAAATGAGAAATGCGCAGGAAGCATTTCCTAGTGAGTCTATAGGGAAAAAAATCACTAATCTGCCCCAAAAAAACTCATGTACCTTTACCAGCAACAGGCGTATTTTATGCATGAATTGGCGCATATGTGTGAACAGGGGCCATAGGAATATGGTATTTCTTGTGCTGTGCATTTCAGCGTGCACAAATACGCGCACAAAAACTCCATGGTGTGCACGGGGACTAAACGTTTGGGAAAAAATTTTAAGAAATACTTTGCTCTTCAATGTACAGTATATCTGTTTGAGCTGGATTCATTACTGAAAAAGCGTTTGGGAGTTTATTACTACTTTATGACTGGGTTGTTTTCTTTATTATTCGATTGCTTTTCACCTGTCTGATTACTATTTGTACTAATTGTATCTCTGGTTGGTCTTTGCCTCCTGTGTTTCATTGTGACATACATCAGGTAAAAAAGTGTTACAAATGTTTGTCGGTTGGAATGTTGAATGCCTCTGCTGTCAGTTTGCACCTTGCCTAAATATTTCCCTTTTGTCTGTCCCTGCAGGGTAATGTACGTGCGTGACACTGTTGGGTTAATCATTCTCCCTGAAGTATTTTTGCTGCCAGCCTCATAGAAAACAGGCAGCAAACTCACTACTCAGCAGAAAGGCCAGAAGAGATTGGCAGAATCCCTTCCCCTCCTCGGATGTTCTCTACTTAGAACTCCACAGGCTTGTTCTGTGGTCTGTGTTCTCACCGGGAAATCTGTGTGCTATATGTGAACTGTGCGGATACATGCATCTATAGACCGAGCACCAGAAGAAGAGCTTTTCCTCTGCCATTTTAAATGAATTACTGGATCTAAGTTACAAATCTCCACGTGGACACAATGGGTCAGCAAGGGCAGGGATATGGCTACTACAGGACTGTCATCTTTAGTGCCATGTTTTTGGGATATACTTTGTACTATTTTAATCGTAAGACATTCTCTTTTGTCATGCCATCTATAATGCAAGAAATCAAGCTTGACAAGGATGATTTGGGTGAGTTGTTTGTGAACATCTGCTCTGCAAGGAGCCTAAATAATGTTTTCATAACTTCACTTTTTATATACCGGTAGTCATTGTTTATTTCATTATGTGTAGTTTTATCTATATTTTTATGCATAGTATATACTTCAGTTGCTCAGGGTGTGCATATAGATCTTGCAATGCAATGTACGCACTTCGGATCCACTGTAAGCACTTCGGATCCACTGTAAGCACTTCAGATCTTCATAATTTAACAATGCTACCTGCACAGATTATTCAGCCTGTAGTCTATGACCTGCATTTGGGTGTCGAAAAATGCAGGTCCGTATGTCTTATCACCCTCCCTGCTGTATTATGCCTAAACAAAGCTAAAGGTCACATCAAATGAAAATCATTAAATGTATTACACCATACACATAAAACTGCCATTTTAGTCCTGTGTTAATGTTTCAGAAGCCTGGATATGGGGAGTTATTTTTTCAGCAAAGAAGTACGATCTTGTGTTTTCTAAGACAGATTTTCCATAAGAATTCAGCCTAAAGTCGACGTTCTGTTTATTTACCGACTTCCTGGAGCAGGGTCCCTCCAGGTTGGACTGGCTTATACTTTTATGACACTTTCACTATTTCACCACAGATAAGAGTGAGCTCAGTGGTGTGACAATAACCATAGCAGCCCACACAGCTAATATTGGACATGGAGGTGGAAGGGGGTCCCATTAGGGTGCTGTTAAGGCAATTTAAACATCAAAAATCTGCGTACATGTGAAGAAAACAAATCAATCACTGAATTATTAAGGACTGTAGAGGTTGCTATTGACACTGACCCTCTACCCCTGTGACATTTTCAATTAAGAGCTGAGGTCAGCAATACAGGAGGAGACTTCGTTGTCACAGATACCCTTTGCAGGCTGTGCAGTAAGAATAATTTGTTTAGCTGTCTTAGTAGTGTAGATTTGTTCCCCTCTTGTCATCCTGGCCAGCACTGAAATTAACCCTGTATGCCTAATGCTTCAAGCTGTATGAATCCCAGAGTGCCTTCTAAGCTAAAACTGAGTAGTTTGTAGTTCTCCAACAAAACCCTTATTTTTAGGTTTATATTAGGGTTACAGAATAATTGTGTCCAGGAGTACTAACCAATATGTCATAATATAATGTTTTGTGAAGGTCATTAATAGTACTACTACTACCCACCTCTTCCCTAAAACCTCAGTCCACAGCATTGGTCCCTAGAAGTGTACTGACTACACTGGCAGCTCTCCTACCACCTGTCCTTGGTTTAGACATAGTTTATGTGAAGATCAATGAAAGTAGGGAGGTCGCTGGTGGCCCCATCAAAAGTTTGATATAGGGACCCATGATTTGTAGTTATGTCCCTGAGTAGGTTCTGTGTGAAGGCGAGACACTGATTGGATACATAGACAAAGGCAGCAAAGCCCATCCTCATTTCTGACAAGCTGAGCTTGTGGAGACTGATTTTCTCATGTCAGCAGCCTGGAGGAGCAGTAAACCTAATGTCACATTTTAGCTTTAGTTTCACTCTATTATTAAATACCAGATTACAAGGCATTGTGATTGGAGGCCCAGCCCATCCCTGTCCCCTCCTCTCCTCCTGCATTCACAGAATGCATTGTATTCGTTGAAAAAATACAAGGCATTTTGTGAATGGGCAAGTAGTTAGAAGGGGCAGCTACTCTACTGCCTGAGTCGCAACATTCTCCCCTCTGTACTTGGATGTTCAGCATTATTTGCAGGAGACAGCAAAGTTGTCTTCAAAGCAGCAATAAGTTTGATATACTACCAAACAGTGCAATGGGTGGGGGCTTAGCCCAGAAGTTACAGGAGTCAAGCCTTCAGTAAGAAAGTAATAAACTAAACACTAGAGCATGATCATAACTGAAGACCAACCTCATATGACTCATCATAGCAAGCTGTGTTTGTGGAAGTGATTTATTTCCGTCATTGTTCTCATGCAGTGTTGCCATTTGTTTGCCCGCACAATATATTACCAGGAACTTGTATAGCAATATGGGAGCTGTCATTGTTATTTTGATGGTACTAGTTCAAGGACTGCAATTCCTCAGGGCTCATTCACACCACCGGCCACATCTGCTGGTGTATGCTGTGAAGTAAACAGTGCCGATGCATTCTGAATGACAATCACAAACTGATATTTCATTCATGTTTATTTACTGCAGCACATTGAGATGCAAGTGTAATGCATCACAACATGCTGCAGGTTCCTACCTTTTTTTCAGCACACACACAGAACTGGACTAATAGAACATTACCACGTGACCCACATGATAGACTTTAGACTTTTTATTGCACTTCAGTAGTTGCACTCTTTTGTGTTATATTGTAAATGTTTATTATGCTCAGGAAAAGGGAAGTTTAGGAAAAGTAGACAAACTGCATGGAGAGAGATTAGGAAACTGTACTTTTATTCTAATTGCTAGCTCTTTAAGCAGTTAACCGCACCAATCTAATTCTCACCTGTGTCCGATCCAGTGAGATATCAGCCATTAAGTGGCTTGCATTGTAACTCTCCATTCATTCCCATGTAGACAATGCACTCCAGAAGAACAAACTCTCCATAAGATTTGAATGAAGAAAGTAGTGTGCATGCACAAGCCTGGCTCAGAAGACTTGTCTAGTGAACAAGGTGGTGATATCTCTTTGGACTGGGGATAGGTGAATATAAGACTTACATTGAAAGCTGAGGGCAGAGGACAGTACAGTATGTCAGGGCTGGTCATATCACAGGAGCGAAGTATCCAATGCTCATTAAAAATTACAGCTGGTGCCTAACTTTTCAGGCCTTCTCTAATTGTGATCAATGGCACTGGCTCCTAAAAAATCCTGCTGGCTCCTGGATTGGACAGACTGGCTACTGAATTCTATATTAATTTGTCTGGTATAAGTATAACTATACCAAAGGTGCAGCTATACTTAAGGTGTCTATAGACATCAGAGAACATTTGTCTGATCTGAATATATAAAGATCAGATCAGGGAACATTTGTATGTTTGTTGGCACATCCATGACCTTGCCTGACTTCCCCTGGCTGAGCCTGGGGGGTGGGAAAGGAGATGCCCCTGGAATATTTTTCCTGGCTGATCTTTGCCCCAAGATAGATCACCACATGTAGTACTTCCCAGTCCCTCCATAGGTAGACATGTAAGGTCACCTGTTGAATGAGTTTGATTCTTTCCTGAGGAATTGTCCCCCAACCTAACTGTAAAGTTTAAATAAGTAAAGTTAAAAGAGATAACATAGTGAGGTGTTTCCATTCTGCAATTTTCTGTGTAAGACAATTGTTGCATACTAATTATAGGTATGTTGTAAAATCATTTTTATCGTCTTGATTGCAATATGTCTTCTACAAGTATTAAAAGACAAACTAAACTAAGAAAAATATTGGTTAAAAAGATACTGGAATAAACCAATAAATTCTTGAATCTAGAGTTTTATTTCTTCGATATTAAATTCTCTTTTATGGTAAATTCTATTAAGTCTTCTGATCTGTTTTGAAAAATATGTATAATGCAAATTTTATTCACCCACAGGTTTGATCACCAGCAGCCAGTCAGCGGCATATGCAATCAGCAAGTTTATAAGTGGAGTCCTGTCTGATCAGATAAGTGCCCGCTGGCTCTTCTCTTCAGGTTTATGCTTAGTGGGCTTAGTGAACGTTGTATTCTCGTGGAGCTCCAGCGTGCAAGTCTTTGCTATACTTTGGTTCTTCAATGGGCTGGCACAGGGATTTGGATGGCCACCCTGCGGGAAGGTTCTCCGTAAGGTAAGCATGAACCAAGCTGAACTGTCAGCTGTAGCAGTGTTCCAAAATAATATTCTTAAAGCTGAACCTCCGGCATAAAAAAAATACACTTACAGTATTCCTCAGTTCCCCCCCCCCCCCCT